CATAATTCAGTCTTGTTTAGAGATGCGATCGTTTTGTGCTACAGACAGCTCAGATATCCCTAGTTGGAGGCGGCTCCTCTTCGCACATAGTTGCAGAATGCTCTGCTTCTGAGGGCACAGTGGTTAGAGTGCAGCACTGCAGGCTGCTTCAACTGACTGCTAGCTGCAGTTTGGCAGCTCAAATCTCACCGACTCAAGATTGACTCAGCCTTCCACCCTTCCAAGGTGGGTAAAATGAGGAGCCAGATTGTTGAGGGCAAGAAGTTGACTCTGTATACCGCTTAGAGAGGGCTGTAAAAGCACTATGAAGCGGTATATAAGTCTAAGTGCTATTGCAGGCTAACTCTGCCCACTGCCAGATGTTTGATTCTGAGCAATTCAAGGTTGACTCAGCCTTCCATCCTTCCAAGGTTGGTAAAATGAGGACCCAGATTGTTGGGGGCAATAGGCTGACTCTGTAAACTGCTTACATATGGCTGTAAAAGCACTATGAAAGGGTATATAAGTCTGAGTGCTATTGCTATTCTGCACTCATATAGGAATCACCAAGTAGTTGCAGCCTCCTGAAACCTCTCTTGCAGCTTGCAACTCAGTGCAAGTCGGTTGTCTGGCTTAAACATGTATGCACATGCTCTGAAAAGAAAAGGGCATGACCAAAAAAATATTGTCTCAAACTGATCTCTCTTGGGCAGAATTGCTTACCGTACTCGTGGGGCAAAATTATGTACAAATAAATAGGATAATAGGAGAAATGGACTTAGGAAAATATGTGTTTTTGGAGATGGAAGTGCTTTTAAAAAAACAACTCAGGATGAAGTGGAACAAGGGCAAACCAGATTTTGGATTATTGTCTGGCCCATTATGTATATCTGGCAGAGGAGGCATGCTATTTCAGATGCCATTTGCTGGGAACCTACAGTTGGTGGGTCACAGATACCAATAGCACTTAGACTTATATACCACTTCATAGTCCTCATTTGTCCTTTGTAGTCCTTCATCTGGGTCNGAGAAGGAGAAAGTTAGAGGGAGATGGAGAAAGAGAAGGAGAAGGAGAGAGGGAGAGGAAGAGGGAGAGAGAAAGGGAAAGGGAAAGAAAGAAGGAGAAGGAGAAAGAGAGAGGGAGAAAGAGGGAGAGGGAGGAGAAAGAGAAAGAGGAGAAGGAGAGAGGGAAAGAGTGAGGGAAAGAGAGAGAAGGAGAAGGACAGATGGAGATGGAGATGGTGGAGTGGAATGGTCCTTGGTGCTGTCTGAGCTTGGTTCTTTGCTTACAGATGTTTCATCACCTGACATCATGAGTCCTCAATGATGATAATCAATGTAGTTAGCTTTGTGATTTTGTTTTTTCCAGATTTCTTTGTGTATGCTGTTTTTTTCATTTCTACAACCATATTAGGCTTGTTTTGAAGATGTACAGTACACAGTTTAGTATCTTCCTCTTTTAAAAACAAATAAATAAAACAATGGCAAATATCACCTCTAAGTTGCATTCTGGAGAACATGGCTTTTCCATCTGAGATCTGGAGACGATGGACGCAGTGGGAGCATCTCAATCCCTCCAAAGGATAGAACTTATTGTGTGAAATTGATCTCTAGGTGAAGAATATAACTGTATTAAAATATAGATGCTTTCCCCCCACCGCCCTCTTAATTTCCTTTTTGGTTTCACCATTCTGTCCTTTAGATTGAAAATCCCTTCCAAGTCCACAATTTGATGATTCCCTTTTTCTGTTTTATTGATTTATTTTTCGCATAATGAGTGGAGTATTGAGAATTAGGTAAACGATACTACATTGAAGAAGAGATTAGGAATTACATTTGATTTAGTTGTTCACATTGATCGGGAAAAAGTAGCTTCTATCTGTGCAAAAGTTCTGAAAATCTTTTTCCAAATGTTCCAAAGTTAATATTTGTCCCCATCTAGCAATTTATTATACCAGACTAGATGGCTTTTCAGATTAATCCCTGGGAAACAAATACTCTTTTGGCTAAATTTTTTGATTGTTAGAGGCTGCTGGGATATTTTACAGTTCTGATGCTCTAGAGGCTTGTGGCAGATTTCCTTTATGTCCTAGTAGGCAAAACTATTACATCCCCAAAAAGTTGACTTGTCAAATCACTTTTAAACTAGGGTAATAAAATAAAATAAATGGCAAATCTAGGCAGCATACGAAAAAGCAAATACATCACCCTGCCAACAAAAGTTTGCATAGTCAAGACTATGGTTTTCCCAGTTGCAATGGATGGCTGTGAAAGTGGATTATAACAAAGACTGAGTGCCAAAGAATGGAGGCCTTTGAACTCTGGTGCTGGAAAGACTTCTGTGAGTCCCTTGGACTGCAAGGAGATCAAAGCGATCAGTCCTAGAGGAGATCAACCCTGACTGCTCTTTAGAAGGCCAGATCCTGAAGAGGAAACTCAAATACTTTGGCCACCTAATGAGAAGNTTCTCTCGCCTCCTCCTGCAGTTAAGCACTAAACAGAGTCATCCGCTGTGACTCTGGCAGCAACTACCTCAGCCTTTTTCCTTTTAAATTTTTTTTCATGATGACAGTGGGAGGCCCTGCCTCCCCTGACTGCACATCACTGGTTCACACACTCTCATTCTATTTACGGGTAAGTGGCAGAATTAAATAGGAAAAATTACAGCACTTGGACCAACTCCTGAGTCAACAAGGTGTCCGCCCGAGTGTCAAATCCATCGTACCATCTGGCACATCATTCATTAAAACCAGATCTAATAGTGGAGGCACTGAACCAGGTCATGGATGTCTCTGTGGTTGCCGGTTATTGAATGAAGGAGACATGGGACATCAAAATCTCCATGTACAGACAGCCCGATTGCGTCACCATCTGCAGTTGGGCCACCGTTTTCCCTTCCATTTTGGTGTACCACCTCCCCATTTTCATCTCAAATCGGGGACTGTTTTACGAACCATGAGGCGCCGAGCTACAAACTTTGGGCTTGAACCGAAGAGAGATTATGGATTTATCCATCCTTACCATCACTCAAATGTTACGACGTTTATATGCTTGGAACAAGGAAAAGTTGATACTGGACCTTGGTGGACATGTGATTAATGATCCGCCATTAAGCAGCAACTCCACTAGTGCAACCATCTATTAGCAATTCGCCCCTCTAATAATTCATGTAACTTAAGTCTCGATTAGTGTAGTTAACAAATCCCATGAAATGGTTGCATTATTTGAATTTGCACTATGATATTTCTATGGAAAATGCGATAAAAGGTTCCAGCTTGACATAAAAATATTTTTATTTATTTGATTCCTTCAAGTCAGTGTTGATTCTTAGAGACTTCCTGGACAATTAAATAAACTTTGGGTTGTATTAAAGGCGATCTGGTATCAATGTACAATTGGTACTAAAATGAGTATTTCATTATTCAAATTTGCAGTAATTTGCAACCTATCTGTATTTGTATCTGGCTTTTATTATTTTTACAAATAACTTGAAGTGGCGAGCATATCGTACACACTTCCCTCCTCCTTTGTCCCCCAACAACCACCCTGTCAGTTGAGTTGGGATGAGCGAGAGTGACTAGCTCAAGATCATCCAGCTAGTTTTCATGGCTAAAATTTGGGTTTCAATGTCCAGGTTTCTAGTCTGATGCCTTAAAAAGTAGACTACTGTATCTTCCTCTTTCAAAATATTAGGCATATTCAAAAAAACTCAGTGGTGGAAGAGTCAGACATTAAGTATATACTTTTACAGTCAGCAAATAAGTTGTAGACGTCAGAAGCCCAAGGTGTAGACTAGAGTTCCCCAACCTTTCTGGGTTGGCGGCCCGTAGTGCCACCACAGCACTCCTGGTAATGCTAGCATGAGTGTGGGGGGGAATGTATGCACGTGTACTGGCCAGCCATTCACATTACTTCACATTTTATGATCCCATCATTTAACAATGGCAGTCCTGGCCCCAATTGCTGTCTTAACCAAAAGACTTCTTATAGTCAGGGATGGGCTGCTACTGCTAACGTTATGGCTGTTTCAGAGAACTCCAAATCCCACCCCTGGCTGGACCCACCCAGCCCCGCCCACCCTACCCCACCCCTCCCAGGAGTCTCCACACGGCCCATTTTGGATGCAAGGTAAGTGCAGGGCCCACGCGGAGGCTTAGGGAGGGGGAAAAATGGGCCTCCCAGAAGCTCCAGAATAGCAATAGCAATAGCAGTTAGACTTATATAC